AAGTGCTGGAAATCGCCTCAGTGCCCACTGATAAATGAGTGAATCAAAAGCTGTAGTACACTTACACCATGGAATACTACACAGGAGAAAGAAAGAAGGAACTTATACCCTTCACGACAGCATGGATGGAACTGAAGAGCATATGCTAAGTAAAATAAGCCAGGCAGTGAAAGACAAATACCATATGATATCACCTATGAGTGGAACCTAACCAAAAAAACAAACAAATGAGTAAAATAGAACCAGAGACTTGGAAATAAAGAACAAATTAACAGTGACCAGAGGGAAGGGGGAAGAGGAATAACAGGGGAGAGAAGGGGGAAAGGCAAGCCAAGGAATATGTATAAAGGACCCACGGACAAAGCCAACTGGAAGGAGGACTGAATGTGGGGTAGGGATGGATACGGCAGGGGAAAGTAATGGGGGGGATGAAGACAACTGTAATTGAGCAACAGTAAAAATATGTGAATAAATAATAATGTTAATTGGTCTATTTTTATCTACAAAGGATGAGTACTTTGAAGAGTTCTCTGTGCATATTCAACAGGTGTCCCTCATACGCATGTTGAAAACCGAACTCGTTCTTCACTCCCACCCACATCATCCTTTGAACACCAAACTGGTTCTCTTGTTTGTTTATTTTTATTGTTGACACTGTTACAGATGTCCCCATTCCTCCCACCATCTGCCTTCCTCCACCCAACCTGCCCCCATTCTTTCTAGCCATCACCACACTGTTGTCTGTGTCTAAGAGTTTTGCATACACATTCTGTGGTTAATCCCTTCACGTTCTTTCATCCGGTCCCTTCTTCCTCCTCCCCTCTGACAACTATCAGTCTGTTCCATGTGTCCAGGCCTCTGTTTCTATTTTGTTTGTCAGTTTATTTGTTTTTTAGATTCTACATATAAGTGAGATACATGATATTGGTTTTTCTCTGACTGGGTTATTCCATTTAGTATAAGGCTCTCCAGGTCCATCCCTGCTGTTGTAGGAAGTAAGATTCCCTTCTCTTTTAGGGTCATGTTGTATTCCATTGTGTAAATTTACCACAGCTTTTTTATCCACTCATTTACTGATGGACACTTTGGCTGTTTCCAGATTTTAACTATTGTAAATAACACTGCTATGAACGTAGGGCTGAATACATTCTTTTGAATCTGTTTCAAGATTCTTAGGATATATTCCCAGAAGTGGGATCACGGGGTCAGAGGCAGTGTCATCATTCATTTTTTGAGGTAACTTCGTGTGGTTTCCCACAGTGGCTGCACAAGTTTGCATTCCCACCAAAAGTACACTAGGGTTCTGTTTTCTTCATGTCCTTGCCAGCACCTGTTTGCTGATTTATGATGGTAGCCATTCTGACAGGGACCATTTGATATCTAGTTGTGGTTTCAATGTGAATCTCTGATTAGTGACATTGAGCATTTTTTATATGTTTATTGGCCATGTATATGTCCTCTTTGGAGAAGTGGCTTTGCAGGTCTTTTGCCCATTTTTAATTGGATTATTTTCCTTCTTGGTGTTGACTTACAGAAGTTCTTTGTATATTTTGGAAATTAACCCTTTATTAGATGTATCATTGGTGAACACGTCCCACGGACAGTGGGTTCTCTTTTCATTTTGTTGATGGGTTGTTTTTTGGTTTTTGTGGGGTTTTTTTTTTTGCTGTGCAGAAGCTTTTTAGTTTGATGTAGTCCCATTTGCTTATTTTTTCCTTTATTTCTTTTGCCTTTGGAGATTCAATGCAATTCCAATTAAAATAGCAATGGCATATTTCACAGATCTGGAACAAATACTCAAAAATGTATATGGAAACAAAAAAAGACCCCAAATAGCCTCAGCAATCTTGAGAAAGGAAAACAAAGTTTGATGGATCACAGTACCAGATATCAAACTATACTACAAGTCTACTGTAACCAAGACAACCTGATACTGGCATAAGAACAGGAATATAGATCAATACAACAGAACAGAGAGACAAGAAATGACCCATACCTATATGGTCAATTAATATTTGGCAAAGGAGACAAGAGCCTTGGGAAAATTGGACATGACATGCAAAAAAATAAAGCTAGACCACCAATTTACACCACACTCAGGAAAAAACTCAAAATGGTTAAAAGACCTAAATGTAAGTCATGAAGCCACAAAAGTCCTAGAAGAAAACATAAGCAATAAAATCTCAGAAACCAAACTAGTTCTCACCCTACTGTACAATATTCTATTAGTAAAAGGTGCCATCATCCATTGGGTCAGAGGTGTCCATTGTGTCAGAAGTGTTTGTTATTTCACCCCAAAAGCATCCATCAGTTACCACTTAGTTATTCTACTTCCATTTATCTCACAGAACTTTTTGATCTTGTCCTCTCTTCCAATCCTGCCCTCATCACACCTGCCTTGTGTATTCCATACTCTCATAGCTGTTTCACTCGTCTCCAGTTCTGGCTTGACTCTGACTGAATTTTCCCCTACTTCATTCCAGCAAACCACATCATGCTAACTCACTCTTGTATTATTTCAAAAATACTTTACATTCCCATTCATATATGAGAATTTTTAACCTCTTTATCAAGGCACATCAGGCATTTTCCTGGGCTCAGGATTTCCTATATATATTTTGTTTCTCTATGTTTATAAGTTTTAAAATGTCTCAGCACAACAAATTTAGAAATAAGCCCAGGTTTACATCTTAGCCTTGCTATATTCCTGCTTTACATCAGTGAACATTATTTAAGCATGTTTCTTATACTCTTCACACAAACTGTCAGTTCTTTCTGTCGGTTCACCTTAAAAATTTATTCCTATAGCCATTTTTAGTACTTCTGACCTGAGGTACCATCTTGGTTTCTCCTGGATTATTGCAGTAAGTTGTCCACTAACTGGATTCTCCACTTTTATTCTGTCATTGTTACAGGCTACTTTCAACAAAACTGCCTTTGTAATTGTAAGCCATGTGCCCTTTTGCTAACTCTGCTCCAAATAAACTGACATCACTGTGATTTATCAAACATTCTTGACTTTTATTTTTCACTGGATCATTCTCATGTTTGGAAAGCTCCCAACCAGGTACATGCATGAATAGCTCTACCAGCTGTATCTCTGTGTAAGCTGGTGTTGATTTATAGTTGGAATAGAAAAAGCTCTATCTTTATCCCTAGAAAAGGCTGGATGTCTGCTTTCACTTTTTGCCAAGATAAGGGCGGTGATACTGATGACTAGTTATTTAAAATTTACACAAAAGAACCTTGAGACCTTGTGCATGGTGTCTCTCTGACCTCCTCCGTTGCTTGTCTGCACTCCCTCTTGCTGTGCTATATCTTTTGCATTTAAATAAAAGGCTTATATGAGATGACCTTGTGAGTCCAGGTGACTTCTTTCAAATATCTAAACTGGATAAATATCTGCACCTCCTTCAGGTATTTGCTTATGTATCACTTGCTCAATAAGGCCTACTTAGTCAACTATATATTTGTTCAATTTATTGGTGTGGCATTTGTTAATAAATTTGTGTAGGTTTCAGGTATACAATTATACAACACATCTGTGTATTATATTGTGTGTTCACCACCCCAAATCAAGTCTCTTTCCATCATCATTTATTCCCCTTTTTCCTGGAAAGAATAATGGAGTCAGCAATTTTTTTTTAATTTTTATCAAATTCATTCATCAACATCAACTCTTCTGCCTTAATCTTTTCCATATGATCAATCACTTTGAATACACTATACAATCAACTTATGAAATATGTTTATTGCTTATGGCTTAACTGTCTAACCCACTATTTCAAATTCTTGAGGCAATATCTTAATGTAACCATGAAGTACGGGTGGCAGGAGTAGGCTATGAAAAAATGTAAAACAAAGCAAGATACTGAATTTGTGACTTAAGTGTTAGAAGAAATGAGAGAAATAGCAAGATAACAACATTGCACTGGAGAAAATGACTGAAGTAGGGAGGCAGTGAAGATAACTAACCACGAGGAGGAGACTATTATTGAACGACATGAGAGGAAGACAACAAATGCCACAATTCTCAGTTGTGATGGGGATTCTAACAGAGTAGTCAGACAAGCAGTAGATGTTGGTCTAGTAGGAGATAAGACTAATTTACATTCAGGGTAGAAGTTGTGTGTTCTCTGACAGCAGATAAGGAAACAGGTCCATTGACTTAATTTTTACTCAAGTCAGAGATGGAGGAATGGCAGCTAAGTTATTGGATAAACTCTGACCTCAGTCCTGGCTGAATTTCTGAATTTTTCCATTTAGTCCAAATGATAGGTCTAATGGGTCAAATATCATGATTTCTTTACACATATGAGTTAAAAATTTGAAAAATATATACAGATGCCTACTTTATTCCATCTTATAGTAAATACTCATCTTTCTGCCTTGGAGGGAGAGTACATTTAGCATTTTCCTTGGCATCTAACATGTCTTCAATAAATGTAAATTTTATTCTCCATCCCTAGCTATATATCAGTTTATCTGTGTTGAAACTATGGGGGTATTAGGAGTTTAAACCCTGGATCTGATTGCCTTAAATACCAACCCTCAAATTTACTAAAATTCTATACTCAGGGAGAATTATTTAAATTCTTACATCTGTTTTCTCATTTGTAAAATAAGAATAACAATAACTGGAATCTTAGTAAGGAAGAAATGTAAATGTTTGGAAACCATATAAGTCTATCAGTTAGAACCTTAAATGAGTTGGCAAGATGCATGATAACTCACAACTATGATAAGAATGCAGTTAAATCTCTTCAAAGTCACTACTTGTTTATAAAGGTTGATAAATAAATCTCTAATACTGGTTAAGATTAAGTATCTCTAAAGAGTATAAAACATAATTTGAATTACATTTTTTAGTATGATAGTGACAAATAGAAATGATGATTATAAAACATGAAAATAATAGGTCTCTTATACTGAGGTTAAAGATTTTTATAAATATATTTCAGAAATGATATTTTGTCAACAGTTCAATCCCTTCAATTTACCTTTAACTCTGTGTATGACTTGTTGCTGTCACTGCTGCTTTCATCTGATACTGATCTGTATAAAAGAAATAACATTAGTTTTAAGTTTGGGAAACATTGTAATCTTAAGCAAAATCAAGAAAAGTAATAAAGCTATATCTGTACTCATTATTCAAATAATATATACCAAGATCCACTTTGCTTCCTATATTCCACTCAGTGATCCTGTATTTAATATTTGGTCCCTCTAGTAAATATGTTGATCATATATAAATTTTACACTAAAAACCAATTTATTATTTTTCTCCTATCTTCTCTACAAAAAAACAAGATGTATATTAATATATCTGTGATAATGCTCTTCCAAAGTTGAAAGGGTAATTTACATGAAAATAGTCAAATTCTTAAATTATTATCTCTTCAGTTATGATATTTCTATCAAAAACTATGTAAGAAACTGTTTCATTTCATTAATGAGTCCTCAGTGAGTCCTCTATGTCTTTCTGCTACATTTAGGTACATTTGGTGGTAACAATTAAGCTTCACGTGTTCCTGGGCCTCTATGCACGTGAAGGATACCTACCTGCTTGAACTCTAGAAGAAAAACCATACACTAAGACCCAATATTTTTATACACTAACCCAATCCGTCCGAGAATTGCTACTCGTAATATTCAGAACTACATTTGGATTCTTTCCATAGTGCATTTTAATATAAATATAAGAAACGACAAGTTTACTTACCCTTCACTTACTGTTTCCTCTCTTACAGGAAATCTTATCTTATTCCGCTTCAGGGCAAAGATGGCAATTAAAACAAGGAAAGGCAGGAAAATGCAAAAACCGATCAAGACGCCGTTTTTCCGAGCTGCGGGGCGCGGTCTTCTTTCTGGCAGGTTCGCAAGTTTTACTGAAAACATGAAAGTACCTTTTATTTTTTCAAAAATGATGTTCAAAGCATATCAGAATTTTGACTTATAAAAATATGGGCTCCAAATAATGTGGTCATCGAATGAATAAAATTAAATTTAAGTGATTTCCAATATTCTGTGACTATGCCACAAAGGGTACTATATGTTTCTGTCACTCAGTGTATATCAATATCATTGTCATACTTTATTTTAAATCATTTTATGTATTATCTTTACCTATGGGCTATATTCTAATGCATTTTATCTTATTCCCATCTGTTAATTGCTGCTTAGAACACACTAAACTGATATTACTATCTAATAAGTTCTTCAATTTAAAATACAGAGCAAACAAAAGAACTGTTTTAAAAATTATTTAATAAAAAAAGATTGACATATTAGAAGGTTAATTGTAAAGCACAATTAATGATAGCAAACTAGGCTAAATTTATCTTTATAAAGCAACATTGTCCTCATTTTGATTATATTAATTAGAATATAAATATTCTTCCATGTGTTTTAAGATATTAGAGAAAATTTTTTTAATCTTGGAAGCTTGGTCTAATTAAATGAAAGAAATAATCCAGGCAACTAAAATACAGAAAACTAAATTAAGCAATCAGAATTACCATCAACATAACTGCAATAATATTAAGTATAAACAAAATTAATGCCCCACAAAAAAGTTCAATAACTTTGAAACATACACATTCCAATTATATGTTGGTAAAAAGTGATTTACCTAAAATTATTCAGAATGCTTCATGTATTATAAGAAATAAATTGGAAAATATATGAAAAATATTGAAATTAAGCAAATATGCAGCAGTATTACACTATGGTAGAATGCAACAGTTTTAAAACTCTTCTTTTCCTGCTTCATCCATCAGAAAATGTTAACTCTCCATTAGTTCATCTTCACTCAAAATATTACATTGAAAGTAGAGCTTCCTTCTAACATACTAAAGGCTAATTAAAGAAATTGCACCTATTTATTACTGGCTTGACAGATATCCATTACCCTATGGAACAAAGGTAGGGCTTCCACCTTAGCTATGATAAAATTGTTTCATTAAAAGGTGCCACACTTTTATCTTATAGTAAAAATAAAAAGCAAGGCAATATACGTAAGAGATATAACTTCTAGAAGTCAACAGGAAATGAAAAAGCACAATATCTGAGAGAAAATATGTTGATTTTAAGAAAATTTTATTCCACCTATAGACAATCTGCTGATCTCAGCAGACAACTGGAGTCCTAGGCAAAAGTGCAGCATTTCACTGAGTTAAGGGGGCAAAGGACAGGGCTCATAGCAATAAAAATGGCTCAGTCTGCAGGGTGCAGCCCTGGAGGCACAGTTGCTCAGTAGATCAGGGACTGTGGAAGTGCTGGGATTCCTGTCAGGTGTCATTGGTAGAGGGATAACCGGAAGCTAATTAAACAGCAGCTCTTACTGGGGTGAGATTGAAAAGGAGATATGGAGAGTTCCAGCCAAGATGGAGGTATAGTTTAAGCAACCCTTCACTTTCTCCCACAACCAAAGGAGGATGACAACCATTCTAAAATCTATAAACAATCAGCCCGTTCTCTATTTTAGTGTCTTTGGTTATATTTTGCTTGTTTGTTGTTTTGTTGAAATAGAGAACAGGCTGACAGTGACCAGAGGGGAGAGGGGAGGGAATTTCAGGGGAAAAGCGGAAGGGTTTGCAGGAACAAGTATAAAGGACACATACATAAAAACAAAGGGAGGTGGAAATAGGAGGGAGTCGGGGAGGGTTGGGGGGTGCTGGGAGGGGAAAAGGTAGAAAACTGTACTTGAACAACAATTTTTTAAAAATCTATAAACAATCAAACATGCCAGAAAATCAAACTGCATGGAACCCCAACAACCAAGGAATTAAAGAAAGAGTCAACCAGAACAACAGACTGGTAAGTCAGCAGTTGACCTTGGTCTCCTAGCAAGGTAGCAGACCAAGGGGTGGGGCTGGATGTGGCAAGGCTGCAGACTGCACAGGCAGGGCTGACTTAAGGGGAAACTGAGACTTGGAGCTGGCTGTGGACTATGGTTTCCTCTGGGGGAGAAACTCCCAGTCTCACACGAGAGTTCATTGGCAAGTGAGCTAGAGACGAGCAGAGGAGCTGCATTGTTCCCCCTTGGGGCCCTCCTTCACAGGCAGTGCTGCAGCACAGCAAAGAGGGGTGCCCTTCCCTGGTGAATACTTAAGGCCCTGCCCCTTACAACTTAACAGGTTCCCTGAGACAAAGAAATATGGGCAAATGAAAGAACAGAGCAAAACTCCAGAAAGAGGGCTAAGTGATTAGGAGATAGAAAACCTATCTGATGGACAATTTAAAGCCCTGGTAGTCAAAATGCTTACAGAAATGATGGAGCTTGGTCAAAAAATGAAAAAACAAATGAAGGATACCCAAAATGAAATAAAGTAGAATGTTCAGGAAACCAGCAGTTACAAGAGGGAAACCAGGACTCAAAGCAATGATTTAGAACAAAAGGAAGAAATAAAAATCCAACCAGCACAGAATGAAGAAACAAGAATTTTAAAAAATGAAGAGAGGCTTAGGAACCTCTGGGACAACTTGAAACATTACAATATTCGAATTATAGAGGTGCCAGAAGGAGAAGAACAACAGCAAGAAATTGAAAACCTATTTGAACAAATAATGAAGGAAAACTTCCCGAATCTGCTGAAGGAAATAGACTTCCAGGAAATCCAGGAAGCCCAGAGAGTCCCAAAGAAGTTGGACCCAAAGCAGAAAACACCAAGACACATCACCATTAAGCTACCCAAAGTTAAAGACAAAGAGAGAATCTTAAAAGCAGCAAGAGGAGAGTTTTACCTACAAAAGCGTGCCCATAAGAAAAGAAACCTTGCAGGCAAGAAGGGGCTAGAAAAGAAGTATTCCAAGTCATGAAAGGCAAGGACTTACATACAAGATTACTCTATCCAGCAAAGCTATCATTTAAGATGGAAGGGCAGATAAAGTGCTTCCCAGATAAGGTCAAGTTCAAGGAGTTCATCATCACCAAGCCCTTACCATATGAAATGTTAAAGGGACATCTCTAAGAAAAAGAAGATCAAAAATATGAGTAGTAAGATGACAACAAACTGACAACTATTCACAAATGAACTTTAAAAAAAGAAGGAAAAATAACAAAAACAAAAACTAAGCCAACTATAACAGGAACAGAATCAGAGAAATTGATATCACATGGAGGGGGAAGGGATGAATATGGGGGAAAGGTACAGGGAAAAAGAAGCATAATTGGTCAGCATAAAATAGACAGGAAGAGGTCAAAAATGGTATAGGAAACAGACAACTCAAAGAACTTATATGAACAACCCATGGACATGAACTAAGGAGAGGGTAATGCTGTAGGATCAGGGGTATAGGGCTAAGGGGGGGGGTGGGTAAAGGGGAGAGAATTGGAAAAACTGTAATAGCATAATCAATAAAATATACTTTAAAAAAGAGAAGAAAAGGAGATACGAGAGTTCGAGCAGTGCTGGAAAAAGAGCACCAGTAAGATCCCAGTTTCTCCACATCCTCACTAATCACATGCTGCCTGTAATTTTTTTAATTAAAATCAACCTACAAAGATTGAACTAGTATCTCATGTTCTTTTGATTAACATTCTCCTAAAATGTTGAGCACAATATCATGAGCATATGAGCTATTTTTATATCTTGTGGGTCAATATGTTTATTTAAACCCCTTTTCATTTTTATTGGAAAGGAGGAAGTAAAACTGTCACTGTTCGCAGATGACATGATAGTGTACATAGAAAACACTATAAACTCCACCAAAAAACTACTTGACCTAATAAGTGAATTTGGAAAAGCACCATGATACAAAGTCAACATTCAGAAGCTGAAGGCATGTTTGTACACCAACAACAAAATATCAGAAACAGAAATTAGGAAAAAAGTCCCATTTACTATAGCAACAAGAAAAATTAAATACTTAGGAATAAACTTAACCAGGAGGTCAAAGCCTCCGAAAACTACACAACACTGAAAAAGAAATGAAGGAAGACACAAAAAAATGGAAGCATATACCATGTTCGTGGATTGGAAAAATTATCATCATCAAAATGTCCATGCTACCCAAAGCAATCTATGAATTCAACACAATCCCTATCAAAACAACAATGACACATTTCATAGATATAGAACAAACATTTTTTAAATTTTATGAGAAATCATAAATAACCCTGAATAGCTGCAGCAATTATGAGAAAGAAAAACAAAGTAGGAAGGATCACAACACCTGATATCAAACTATATTACAAGACCACTGTAATCAAAACAGTCTGGTACTGGTATAGGAAAAGACACATAAAGAGAATAGAGAGCCCAGAAATCAATGCATCTCAATATGGTCAGTTAATATTTAACAGACAGGCAGGAACATAAAATGGAGCAAAAATAGCCTCTTCAGTAAATAGTGTTGGGAGAATTAGACAAGTACATGCAAAATGATGAGACTCAACCACCAATTTACACCATACACAAAAATATATTCAGGATGGGTAAAAGACTTAAATAAAAGTCATGACACCATAAAAGTCCTAGAGGAAAACATAGGCAGGAAAATTTCAGATATGCCACACAGCAATATTTTCATTGATATGTCCTCTTGAGCAAGGGACTTAAAGGAAAGAATAAATAAATGAGACTACATCAAACTGAAAAGCTCCTGCACAGCTAAAGAAAGTATCAGCAAAATATAAAGGGAACCAACTGTATGGGAGAACATACTTGCCAATGATACCTCAGACAAAGGTTTGATCTCCAAAATATATAAAGAACTCACCTGACTCCACAGCAGGAAGACAAACAATTCAATAAAAAATGAGCAAAGGACCTGAACAGACACTTCTCCAAGGAGAACATAAAGGTGGCCGGAGACATATGAAAAGATGTTCAGCATCATTGAGCCATCAGAGATGCAAATTAAAAACACAATGAGTAATGCCACT